AGCCGCTGCACCTTGTCCTGGCACGGCATGACTCAGCTCCGCGATCCCACGCCGCCTTCGTCCCGGCACAGGGACGTCCCCGCCGCGCTAACGCCGCTGCCAGGGTCCGAAGGGACGCCAGTCCCTCCTTGGCACCCCGAAAACCAGCGGGGCAGTGGCACAAACGCAGGAGAACACCCCCCCCATCCTCCTTCCACGTCAATAAATCATGATTTTCATCCGTAGGCGGCACTAGGAAACGCCAGGCATAGGTGGAGCTTGTTTACAGCGGCTTTGTTAAGTGCTTCACCTCCCGAAGCCACCGGTTCGGTCCCCGCCCGGGCGGCAAGGACAGGTCACGTCCTCCACAGCCCTCGGTGGCTGCCTGAAGCCCGTCACCTCGCACCCGCCGGACTCTCAACCTCCCTCTGACCACGAAGGGCTCGGGGCTTTTAAGCACTCAGCCAGGATCAGAACCAGCTCCCCCTGTTTACACGAGAGCGGAGGGAAAGGAGACGCGAGGGATCGGCCATTGCCGAGCCGGATCGCCTAACGACGCCCGCCATGGCGTTGATACCGACCGCTGCCGGCGGAGGCTGGATCGGGGAAGGGGGGCTCAGGGGACGGGAGCGGGGGGGCCGCTTCCAACCCACTCCATCTCACAGATCCTACCCATCCCAGAGATCCCATTCCATCCCATCAACTGCATCCCATCCATCTCACCCCACCTCATCCCATAGATCCCATCCCACAGATCCCATTCCAACCCACTCCATCTCACAGATCCTACCCATCCCAGAGATCCCATTCCATCCCATCAACTGCATCCCATCCATCTCACCCCACCTCATCCCATAGATCCCATCCCACAGATCCCATTCCAACCCACTCCATCTCACAGATCCTACCCATCCCAGAGATCCCATTCCATCCCATCAACTGCATCCCATCCATCTCACCCCACCTCATCCCATAGATCCCATCCCACAGATCCCATTCCAACCCACTCCATCTCACAGATCCTACCCATCCCAGAGATCCCATTCCATCCCATCAACTGCATCCCATCCATCTCACCCCACCTCATCCCATAGATCCCATCCCACAGATCCCATTCCAACCCACTCCATCTCACAGATCCTACCCATCCCAGAGATCCCATTCCATCCCATCAACTGCATCCCATCCATCTCACCCCACCTCATCCCATAGATCCCATCCCACAGATCCCATTCCAACCCACTCCATCTCACAGATCCTACCCATCCCAGAGATCCCATTCCATCCCATCAACTGCATCCCATCCATCTCACCCCACCTCATCCCATAGATCCCATCCCACAGATCCCATTCCAACCCACTCCATCTCACAGATCCTACCCATCCCAGAGATCCCATTCCATCCCATCAACTGCATCCCATCCATCTCACCCCACCTCATCCCATAGATCCCATCCCACAGATCCCATTCCAACCCACTCCATCTCACAGATCCTACCCATCCCAGAGATCCCATTCCATCCCATCAACTGCATCCCATCCATCTCACCCCACCTCATCCCATAGATCCCATCCCACAGATCCCATTCCAACCCACTCCATCTCACAGATCCTACCCATCCCAGAGATCCCATTCCATCCCATCAACTGCATCCCATCCATCTCACCCCACCTCATCCCATAGATCCCATCCCACAGATCCCATTCCAACCCACTCCATCTCACAGATCCTACCCATCCCAGAGATCCCATTCCATCCCATCAACTGCATCCCATCCATCTCACCCCACCTCATCCCATAGATCCCATCCCACAGATCCCATTCCAACCCACTCCATCTCACAGATCCTACCCATCCCAGAGATCCCATTCCATCCCATCAACTGCATCCCATCCATCTCACCCCACCTCATCCCATAGATCCCATCCCACAGATCCCATTCCAACCCACTCCATCTCACAGATCCTACCCATCCCAGAGATCCCATTCCATCCCATCAACTGCATCCCATCCATCTCACCCCACCTCATCCCATAGATCCCATCCCACAGATCCCATTCCAACCCACTCCATCTCACAGATCCTACCCATCCCAGAGATCCCATTCCATCCCATCAACTGCATCCCATCCATCTCACCCCACCTCATCCCATAGATCCCATCCCACAGATCCCATTCCAACCCACTCCATCTCACAGATCCTACCCATCCCAGAGATCCCATTCCATCCCATCAACTGCATCCCATCCATCTCACCCCACCTCATCCCATAGATCCCATCCCACAGATCCCATTCCAACCCACTCCATCTCACAGATCCTACCCATCCCAGAGATCCCATTCCATCCCATCAACTGCATCCCATCCATCTCACCCCACCTCATCCCATAGATCCCATCCCACAGATCCCATTCCAACCCACTCCATCTCACAGATCCTACCCATCCCAGAGATCCCATTCCATCCCATCAACTGCATCCCATCCATCTCACCCCACCTCATCCCATAGATCCCATCCCACAGATCCCATTCCAACCCACTCCATCTCACAGATCCTACCCATCCCAGAGATCCCATTCCATCCCATCAACTGCATCCCATCCATCTCACCCCACCTCATCCCATAGATCCCATCCCACAGATCCCATTCCAACCCACTCCATCTCACAGATCCTACCCATCCCAGAGATCCCATTCCATCCCATCGACTCCATCCCATCCATCTCACCCCATCCCACCCCACCTCATCCCATCAATCCCATCCCACAGATCCCATCCCACCTCCATCCATCCCATTCCCATCCCACCTCCATCCATGCCCCCCACCCCATCCCAGCCCCAGCACATCCGACCCGGTGGCCCAGGCCCCTGGGCTAGCAGGGCCCCCCAAGCTGTGGGGCAGCGTTTCTGGGGGACCCCAGCCCCGTACTGGGGCTCCTGGGGGACCTGAGGGTCCCGGCTGTGCTTGGGGGGGCGGCTACAGGGGGGGG